AGGAAATAAAAGAATAAGAGGGCAAATTCAATTTTCCTCCGATTCAAGCTCAAACGAGCAAATGAAGAGCAGCCAGATTTTTGTTTACTTCGTCCAGGGGATTCATTAGAACGATTCAATTTCAAAGGGAATTTCTCGTAGAAAAGATGGTCGCGTGGGCGCTTCGACAAATCACGTGGTGCGGTCTGAATTTCAGATTGTCAATGAAATTGCTGTCATTTGACATAGTCCATTCTATCTTTATGAGGCAATTTGATCCTCTTTGCCGCCATCAACCCGCATTTCCAACGAGATTATCGTCTTTGAAATCATACATATTCGCAAATATATATGTATATATATATATTTTTTCATTTAGATTTCAGATTTTATAACGTTTCAAAGGGAATTTCGCTATAAATTTCGTTCGTAGAAGTGTTGATACACTGGTGAACAATAAGAGAATTTTATAGGGGGCGGTTGGATCAACTGGGACAAGTAGCAACTTAACTTAAAATGAAACTAATTAGGGTAAAGGCTTGTTGGCAATCGCGTATCTTTTGATCGTGGGCGATACAGTCATGGATTGCTATTATGTGCACAGCCGGTTTCTCGATTGCTAAATTTGAAATGGAAAAATTTTAAAATTGGAATCAAAAATTTTCATGAATAAAATATTTGCATAGGTGGTAAAAAATAAATTTTGAACATAGGTGGAGGGATATTTTTAGCCGAAAACTTTTTTTACATTATTATTATCTGATAAAATATAATTAAACGCATAAATTAAATATTAAACGGGAAGTAAAAATATAAAATATCGATTGTAATTTAAACTTTTTTTCAAAAAAACTTTAAATAACACTTCAAGAGAAATATATCCTTGCGATTTGATCATTTTTTGATATCAAAATTTTAACAGAAAATTTTTATATCCATAGATTCATAAAAAAATTAAATTACTAACTAAAAACTCGAAAAAGCTTTCATCGCCAATTTTAGTTTCGAAATTCTGAAAGGGAATCTCCCGTTGCACTTGTAACTAAATTTTGAAGAAAATTAAATTTGTAATAAAATTTACACGATATTGCCCACTCTTTTCTATTAAAAAAAAAAAAATTTTTAAAAAAATTAAATTTTTAAAAAAATTAAATTTTTAAAAAAATTAAATTTTTAAAAAAATTAAATTTTTAAAAAAATTAAATTTTTAAAAAAATTAAATTTTTAAAAAAATTAAATTTTTAAAAAAATTAAATTTTTAAAAAAATTAAATTTTTAAAAAAATTAAATTTTTAAAAAAATTAAATTTTTAAAAAAATTAAATTTTTAAAAAAATTAAATTTTTAAAAAAATTAAATTTTTAAAAAAATTTACACGATTTTGCCCCCCCTTTTTTATTAAAAAAAAAAAAAAAAAAAGAACAAAATCGCAAAAATTTGACTTTCAAACAAACGATCGTTATCACGCGAAAAATTCCATTCTTTGTATCCTCTCCGTAAAATTAGTAAAAAGTCGTACAAAATTTTGGAAGTGACATGACTCCCAACGAAACTGTTCCACCATTTAAAATAGCACAAAGCGTTTCCATCTCTCCATTCCCAACTTCGAAATCCTACAAAAAGCCTTTTTATTCCATCAGTTACGCCGAAAAAACCGACTATTTTCTATCAAAGCTTCGAAGAGTGGGAGGGTCGACGAGAATAACCGATCTCTATTTAACCACCTTTTCAAATATCACAAAACGCCTCGGTTATATAATGAACCAACATTAGTTAATTGAAAAAAAAAAAATTCCAAAACGATTTTCTTCTCTCACAAAACGAAATACATCAGCGAATATATCACGAAAAATAAGGGAAATATCTTTATTGAGAAAAATTATATACGAGTCAAATTTCTTTGTAATAAATATTGTTTCTTGTTTATATGTATATATATATGTATATACACAGGAATGAATGTCAAAACGTTTGTGACTCGTGAAACACACACAGATATATCGTGTCCTCGATATCCCATCGAGAAGGAAATCGAGAAGGAATATCGAGCGGTGGTCGCTGCACAAAAGTGGAGAGGGGAGATCGAAAAGCGGAAGTTTCTTTGTTTCCTCCTTATTTCGAATTCGAGATCGAGCCGAGGCGTGGAGATACTCGAGAACCCGTAATCTCATCGAAGTTTGATTCCATTATGAAGTGCAAAGGGGAGGAGGGAGAAAGGAGGAAAGAGAGGTTATTCGTGTTATGAGAAAGTAGGTTAGATTTCGTTATATGCAAGTTGAGTCATCCCGAATGAAAAATAATATCGTTCGTTAAAGATCGATAGGTGGGCAAGAGTTTTGTACAGGAGAAGAAAATTGCAGAAAATTAGAGAAAATAAATTTTTCTTACGTTTCGCTTCGTTAGGTTTGCACTTAGAAGAGTATATTGTTCTTTCATGGTATACGTAATACTACCATCGTTCGAATAAATTGCATTTCATCGCGATTGCATCATTTCACCCATTGATACTCTTTCAACCGCCGAGAATATCTATTCTTACGAATATTTCTCTATCTTCGTAAATTTCTGTTCAACGAATCTCTTCGACGATTCTCTAATACTCCTTCGAGTGTTTGCATCAGTTTCAGAATTAACGATCGAACAAGCATAATCCAAGTATTCGATGTGTCTTCATTTATTATTCCTTTCATAACGACATCTGATCTAAACTCAATGTTTCTTAGAACGAAAACATATACAGAGTGCTCCAAAAATAATGAAGCATAAATTTATAAGATTCTTGAGGTTAATTTCAACCAACGTTTTCCTTCGCGAAAACTTTCGTTAATTAGTTATTAGTTGGCCAATCACGGAGCGCGTAGTAACGTTGGCTCTACTAGTGCTGCCATCGATCGAGCAAATCCGAACAACTCGAGAAAAGACACAAATGAATAATTAAATATACGAATGTTCTATCATTTTTAGAACATCTTGTATATATCATTGGATTCTTTGTTTTCACATCGAAGACTTCTCGTCACAAGATTTATTATCGTGCACAAAATGAAATAAAGCCAAAAAATATTTGCGAACGAGGATTTAAGAGATGAAAGAGTGAAATTTTATTTCATCAGCTTCCTTGGAAATTATACCTTCTGTTTTGATTTTTTTTTTTAATCGTGTGTATATTGAAAATAGTTACAATTTGGTGTCGCTTATTCAAAACCGACTTTCAAATTAAAAACAAATTTGTCGAGGGATAAAAATTTCGTGTCATCGCGATTTGAATTTAGTCACGCGTGTTGCATCACTGAACAACGTTGAATGACGACACGAAATGCGTCACAAGACGAGTTTCTCACGAGCGGATTAAAATGAAGAAAAAAAAAAAAAAAATCATCTTAGTACTTGAAATCGTCGATTTTGTCTCGTGCCGTATCTTTCGTTCCTTATCCGTATTAAATATTCTTTCAACGCTCTTTAAAAGTCGTTAAAGAGTCTAGCAATTTTAATCCTTATTGAATTTTATATTTTATATTTCGAATCAACGTGGTGTATACGAACACCAAGGTCTAATTTTACTCGTTGCACGAGTCGATTGTTCGATACATCCATTTCGAGTGGCCGATACTTTTCCATCAAACTGTCGGATATATGACCTAAACAGATAATACTGTAAAATAACATTCCAATAACTGGTTTTCCCAGAGTTATCGCACGTTAAAATTAACGTGTGATGTTCAAGGAGAACCGGTATGCAACAACGACACGGATTGGATTGGTATTCGCTTCCTGTGATGTGTTTTTTCGAGAAGAATTTCGAGAGGAACAATGGATCGAGAGAAAGATATAAAATAATACAAAACAATAAAAAAATATATATATATAAACGTTTGAAAGTACATTTTTATAAGTACATATATTGAAAATAAAATCTCCTTTTTTTCCTTTTTTTTTTTTTTTTTT